TAAAAAAAAAAAAAAGGAATGAAGGTTAAGAATGCGGGTTTGTGTTTCTGGTTCTTTTTCCCGTGTTGGCTTTTGGTTTTGGTTTATTACACAGCATACTGTATATGTAATTTTGTAGCCCACTTAAAAAAAAAACAAAACACTACAGCACAACATGAGTGTTTGTATTCTTAAAACTGAGCATACACAGGTCACCTGGGTGGCTCAGTCCGTTAAGTGTTCGACTTCGGCTCAGGTCGTGAACTCGCTGTTTGTGGGTTCAAGCCCCGCGTCAGGCTCTGTGCTGACAACTTGGAGCCTGGAGCCTGCTTCGGATTCTGTCTCCCTCTCTCTCTGCCCTCCCCCACTTGTGCTCTGTCTCTGTCTCTCTCTCTCACAAAAATAATGTAAAAAAAAAACAAAAACAAAAAAACTGAGCAGGCGCATTATTGTTAACGACTGCATGATATTCTGTGTGGCGATTGAACCAATAGTTTCTTTTAAGTTTATTTATTTTGAGAGAGAAAACACACAGAGGGGAAGGGCAGAGAGTGAGAGGGAGATAGGGAATCCCAAGTAGGCTCTGTGCTATCAGCACAGAACCCACAAGGGGCTCCAACTGTGAGAGCCTGACCTCAGCTGAAATCAAGAGTTGGACACTGAACCTCCTGAGCCACCCCGGTGCCCCCCAGTAATCTACTTGAGCATTTAATATGTCTTAGAACAGTTGCTTCTAGGTTTTCAATTATTATAATTGAAATTATGCGAGTAAAAGGTTAACAAAACCTTCTATTCTGCACGAAAGTTTGAACTTCGGTTAACTTCCTACCTCTGTTTCCTTTGAGACAATAAAAATGGAATGTCAACAGCATTACTAGGCCACACATTGCTTATGTTAAAGTGACCTTCAATTAAGGCACTGCACCTGGGGTGGGAAAACCATATACACCTGACAGCAAGTCGTTCGTAGGGCTTCCCTCAGTACAGTGACATCTCAGGGGCATGTCTCTTGCCTATGGAGTTGTTAAAAGAGAGACTCCTGTGGTAGGAGGTTCCAGAGCCAGGGTGGTTCGTGCACCTGTATGGTGTGGATTCCATCTCCTTGCGCCTGAGCTGTAACATGGGGGTCAGGGAGGAGAGATGGCAGGGAAACCCTTTCCTGGACACTTGTGCAGACTGCTGTAAGGACCGCTGCATGGTCTTTCGTTGAAGAGATCCACCTGCAGCCACTGTGCTGACAGGTACGTTTCTCCAGTGTATCCTTTTGAGGGCCAGGGTGTGGCCTGTGGTATTCTTAGGGGACTGGCTGTTTAGTGGTGTCTAAGAAGACCCTCAGTAGGCCTGGCCCCCCACACGTAGGATTTCCTTAGGAGAACTTTGCAGAAGTAGAGTAACTGGGTCAAAGGGTGTGGGCATTTTTATGCCCTTTGATTCCCGCGTGCGGTCAAGTTGGTTTCCGGAAGGGCTGCACGACCGACTTCACCAGCTCTGGGAAGAGACCGCGAGACAGCATTACCAGGGACCTAGAATTTTAAAAAATGTTGTAAACCTGGTAACGGAAATTGTTTGTTCGTCCTAATTTGCCTTTTTAAAAAACCTTAGGCTGTAGGTTTGAGTACTACTAGCTTTTTCCTCTTTTGCGAATTGATGCTTCCTTTCTTTTGCCCTGCACAAAAGCCTCAATTACAAGTAAATGGGGTATTAAGTTTTAAAACTGTAAGTTGCAGAGAGAAGAGGCACCTCCCCCTCCCCAGTCTAACCCGCTCTTTCTGCCCCTCCAGGTCTACGAGGCCCTCCTTCCTCGATACGCCAAGCTTGAGCAGAGAATCCTGTCGCAGACCCATGGGCCTCCTGAGAGAATTCCTCAGGCCCAGGCACCCCTGTTAACCCTGCCTGCTCAGACTCACTGATCCTGCCTCGAGACGTGCTCCTGGACAGCAGGGATCCTCCTCCTTGTTCTAAGTGACTGTGCCTGCCCACCTTGCACTGCTCCAGTCCTGCCCCGGACCACCTAAACCCAGGGGACTTTTATGTACAGGGACTTAAATCAGCAGAACGAGGGAAACAAAGCCATCCCTCATCCCTTGACCCCAGCACCCCCTTCTCCAACTCGGACTCTTTGGCCACTCCTCCCCAAACTGCAACCCACAGCCACCCCCGCCCCATACCGTGACCCCACTATCCCATTTCACCACCCCCCCAACCCTGACTCCCTTCTTTCAGTGTCTGAATGGCCTCCTAGTTTCTTGCTTTCTTGTCTTCCCCATGCTCACTCCTCCTTCAAGGTTTCTCCCTTCTGTCCTTCCAGCATCCGCCCCTCATCCTACATGATCTCTTCTTCCTCCCCATGCCCACCTGCTGAAACTCACTACCTCCCACCCAAAGAGTCTGACAGACCTGATGACCGTGCTTCCTGCCCCCTCCCATCAGCTCTCCCCACCGGTTGCCTGACTCCCTGGCACACCAGACCACTTGGAGGGCCCCTCTCCCAGGTAGTACAGGGTAGCACCTCCCTCCCTCCGTCCCTTCCTTCAGGGAGAATTTCTCAAATTCTGGATTTTTTGATTCTATTTCTGTAGTGTCGTTTGACATGTTCTCTGTCTTCTATATTTCCTGAAGATTGGTGGTTGGATCCAATAGAGAGTTCCTCACCCTCAGTACTATTGACATTTGGGACTGGATAAGTTTTGGGTGTGGGGGGCAGCAGTATCCCTGGCGTCTACCCGCCAGATGCCAGTGTCACCCTCTCCCCGAGCCGTGACAATCCAAAATGTCTCCAGACGTGGCCAGATACCTCCCGGTGGGGATGGGGAGGCCAAATTGCCCCTCGTTCATAACCACTGACTTAAGAGACTCGATCAGACACGATGCAATTTTCCTTTTTGTGTCAGACAACCAAGACGGTGTTCTTCCATCAGGAGGCACATAATGTCTGGTTTTCTCTCACTGTTGTGATGTTCATCCCCAGCTCCATCAGCTCACTAGGGATCAGCTCACTAGTTTTGGTAGTCCTCTTCATTTATGACCTGGCATTCTTCTGTGTGAGACATTTCCCATCCAGGTGCCCAGTGGTGGTGTTTATATAGGAGAGGCCAAATAAATAGATTCTTCCCGGTGTTCACTAGTGTTCAAAATAATGGGTTAGTCCCCAGGCATCCTCTAACAGCAGCTAGGTATTTTTTTCAGTGTCAATCTGATACATTTAGCGTATTTTATGTGTCTTAATCCATTGGGGTAATTATTTCTGTCCTTGCCTTCTGTTGTTAGCCATTCTCTCCAGCTCTTCTGCTTTCCTGACGTTTCATTCCTTCTTTCCTTACTGATACTTCTGCTCTGTTTACCCCTTAATTCCTGCCGGGCCCCAAATCTCTGTCCTCATCCTTCTTTCTCACCCATTCTGTCCTCTGGTTAGATGATTTCATCTATTCTTGGGTTTCAACCACTGTTTCCCTACCAGGAACATCCAGATCTATGTTTCCATCCAGAACTCTCCTTGGAGTCTACCAGCATTCTCACCGGGGTACTTCAGACTCCACTTGTCTTCCCTCGCCCTTCCCCCAACCTCCTCCTCTCATGTTGCTGTTTCAGTGAATTGGAATCACCATGCATCCATGCATTCAGGAACCCAACCCCCAAATGCAAATATCCTCTCTCTTTCCCACGTCAGATGAGTCACCAGGTGAGTTTGGTTATTCCTCTGGTAACTCCTAAAGCAGTTCCTTTCTCTCCATCCCCCCTGTTTTACCTTGGACCCCTTTATACCTTGCTCAAATTATGACAAAAGCCTACATAGAAAATCCTCTGTGATCTGCTTCTACAGAATCCCCCAGAGATTACCTCTGCTGCAGGCCCTCACCTAAATTGGGACTTCAGTGAAACCAGGCTCCTTGTGGTCTCACCCAGAGTGGAAAAATGCTGCAGAGCAGGTCTGAGACCCGGTGGGTTAGAGCAGTGGATGGGGGGGAGTCAAAAGGAAGAGGTTTGCAAAATGAATGAGGCCAGCAGCATTTCTGAGAGAGATCATCTCTCTCTGAAGTCATCTCGAAAGGAAGTGGTGTCCTTAGCAGGCTTGGTGGATGAGAGGAAGAAGAAAGCAGAAAGCTGAGGGTTGACAGCCTGTCAACAGCAAGTCAATTCAGAGGAAAACAGGCAACTTCCCCACCCCTGCTACCTAGACTTGACTTATTAAAGAAATTTTACAACATTGACCAAGAGAGAAAGGCTCTCTTAGACCAAGAAACACAGAAAGGCGGTCAATACATTTCCCATTTTACCTCTGCCCCATACAGTTTTCTGTCCTTGCAAGCATGTCAACATAAATAGAAAAGGGAACTTACCACATAGACATATGTAGGAAGAAAACAAAGTGAGAATCGATTGTTCAAGCCGATGAAATACTCCAAAATAAAGAGAACGAAAGAGAGTAAAGGACAAATAGGGTAAATGGTAACAACCCTCCGGTGTGAGCTTTAAAATAAGTTTCAGTGCAAGTGCAGATGTGAAAGAATATCACAGGTCAGAGCATTTAAAACTCAGAATAAAAATGAAGGTTCAACAGGCATGTGTGTGAAGAGAGAACTGATCAAGCTTGGGAAAGGATTTGAACAAAAAATTAAAAGCGTCATACGAATGAAGACTAAATTACAACATATTCAAATAAAAATCGAGATGTCTTCCAGTATAGTAGAGCATATAGAAGATGGGAATGATGAAAGCTAAGACAGCAAGCAATAGAGAGGAAGAGCTGACAAAGTCCAGAAGGAAAAGGATCAGTAAAGTAACAGGTAAAATGGGAGCTTCTGGAAGCTACCAAAAGAGAAGACAGTGGAATTGGTTATTTTTTTTAAATTTTTTGATTATTGTTTAGTATAATTTATTGTCAAATTGGCTAACATACAGTGTGTACAAGGCGCTCTTGGTTTTGGGGTAGATTCCCATGGTTCATCACTTCCATACAACACCCAGTGCTCATCCCAGTGAGTGCCCTCCTCAATGTGATCGCCCACTTTCCCCTCTCCCCCATCCCCCCCCCATCAACCCTCAGTTTGTTCTCTATATTTAGGAGTCTCTTATGGTTTGCCTCCCTCCCTCTCTGTAACTATTTTTTCCCCTTCCTTTCCCCATGGTCTTCTGTTAAGTTTCTCAAGATAGTGGAATTGGCTGATACTTAAACTGCCCCTGGAAGTTTCTGAAAAGCAAAAGATGTGAATCTTTATCTTGAAAGGGCCCCTTTTTGTTACATGGAAAATTGAGCCAGAATGATCAACTGAGACATATCCTAGCAAACTATTACACTTTGAAGGTGAGGGAAAAACCCATCTAGTCCAAAAGAGCTAGTTTCTTACAAAGGAAAGGTCAGGTTGGCATCAGATTTCTCAAAAAAAGAAAGTATAGGGGAGCAACATTTTCAAGAAGTTTAAAGAAAAAAACTGAACTAAGAATAAGTGTTTTGTTTCAAGCTAAGCTGTCCTTTAAGTATCAAGGATATATCGAAGTTAGAATCATGTGAGAGCTCAAGAAATAGTGTACTTGTAACCCTGAAGGACCTTACTAAAAGACATGCTTCAACCAACTACGAGATGATTGGGGGACTTCAGCAAAATGACTGATGGTGAGCCTTGAGTGTCTTTAGTTTCAGATCTAAGACCAAAATAAAAGTGGAGATAAGAGTAGAAGAATAGTATCAAGTGGTATATGCTTTGACAAGGTAGAAATAACAATGAAATAGGGGCGCCTGGGTGGCTTTGTCGGTTAAGCGTCCGACTTCGGCTCAGGTCATGATCTCGCGGTTTCGTGAGTTTGAGCCCCGCGTCGGGCTCTGTGCTGACACCTCAGATCCTGGAGCCTGTTTCAGATTCTGTGTCTCCCTTTCTCTCTGCCCCTCCCCTGTTCATGCTCTGTCTCTCTCTGTCTCAAAAATAAATAAACGTTAAAAAAAAAAAAAAACAAATAAATGAAAAAGAAGGGAGAAAGGACAATACAAAGACGTCTGTGTTGCAAAGGCAACGTACAAGGCAAAGTATCATTTAAAGTTGACAAAGCAGATAGTTGGGACTTAAGTAAGAAAAAGACTAAAAATTATATAAAGGTAATAGTGTATTATGAAGATAATCACCAGAATAAAAATAGAAATTTCCCTCAATGTCCGAAGAAACCATAGTAAAAACAATAAATCACATAGTGAAAAACATACGGTGAATATAGTATATACACACAGTAGTGTAACGAGCATAGAGTCAAACTAGTAAAGGACTCAACTCATCTATTAAAAGTTCAAAAATGGGCAAAGGGAAAAAAAGAGGTAAACCAGGAAATACTATAGAGAATAAATGAGGTTACCAGAGGGGAGTTGGATGGGGAGATGGCTGAAGTAGGTGATGGGGATTAAGGAGTGCAGTTGCGATGAGCACTGGGTGATGTATGGAAGTGTTGAACACTATATTGTACATCCGAAATTAATATCACACTGTATGTTAACACATTTAAATAAAAACTTTGAGAAAAGTTCAGGTTGGGGGGCACCTGGGTGGCTCGGTCAGTTAAGCATCCAACTCGAGTTTGGCTCAGGTCATGATCTCATGGTTTGTGGGTTCAGGCCCCGAGTAGGGCTCTGCTGACAGTGTGGAGCCTGCTTGGGATTCTCTCTTCCTCTCTCTCTGCCCCTGTCCCTTGCTCATGCTTTCTCTTGCTCAAAAGTCTTTTTTTTTTTTTTTTTTTTTACGTTTATGTTTTTGACACAGAGACAGAGCATGAACAGGGGAGGAGCAGAGAGAGAGAGGGAGACACAGAATCCGAAACAGGCTCCAGGCTCTGAGCTGTCAGCACAGAGCCCGACGCGGGGCTCGAACTCATGGACCGTGAGATCATGACCTGAGCCGAAGTCAGACGCTTAACCGACCCAGGCGCCCTC